TGCGTCTTGTACGTCTTAACGATTCGAAAGGTATTGTTACCTACCTGAGCAAAGGACGGCAGCGAACTATGCGGGACCATTGGGGAGCAAATAATTAATACTGCAACTCCCAGGCACTACACCTGACCGCCGAAAAAAAGAAATTGTGGCTGCCAGCATCTAGCAGTTTAGCTGCTACTAGAAACAAAGACAAACACAGCAAACAACTCTCTCCGGCCGCGGCCACATAGCATTCCATCGTCCCCAGCCAGGTGTTTGGGCAATCTTCCACGCAAATGGGATATTGGGTGTTCACCTGCCTGGATGCATCACGAAGAGTCCACACAATGCAGTACATGCACACTTCCCACCCAAATCAAACCGAGGCACTTGTTGTCCATTAAATATTCGTCTGCAAAGTAAGCTTCCAGACAAAAATACAAGTACGGCTTGCCAACATTGTCTCCGATGCCACACTGCTGAAATCTGTAGTCTCGTGCAACCCAAACCTCGGTCTTGACAAGTACACTAAGTACACCTTTACAAGGTCATTACTTGCTGCAGCCTCAAGCCTGGGTCGGAACCACGTGCCAGAATTTCAGTAGCTCCGTGTAGCATGATGAACTCTGCCAGGTAACGCGTTGAGCTACCAAATTGTGATTGATACCCACATAGCAGATGACCACAAAAACAGAAGCGAAAACGAGATACACAAGCAGCCACAGGCAGTCCTGACATCTTCTGGGTACTGTTTCTGGGTAGAAGCCTCTGTCCTCATCATCCCAAAAATTGATGATGGGCTTCGTTTCGTGATATCCGTATCCATGCTCGTCCAGTTCGTCGGTGCTTTCTTCCTCCGGCTCGTCCTCGAATTTCTGTGCCTGCGGAATCTCCCCGACGGACGCCATGCGCGCAGTTTGGCGAAATGGTATGTCGGCTTGACAGGTCGGCTGTGTGCCGTGCTGGCACGCAAGTGTGGAGGTGCTTTAACAGTCATAAAATATTATAGAGTAGGACCAAGCCTGGGACACGAGAATCTTCTTGATCTGACAGCTGGTGCAGCGTGTCCCCAACCACGAGCTACATGTCCACTGCGACTGGATCAGAATGTATGGATTGTATGTTGTGCAACGTTTTGCGGCTTGTTACTTGGAGCCAAACGGCTGGCCATCCTTCGCCTACTACCAAAGGACTTGGGGTAGACTGGCTGACCACTTCTGGAGTATCAGTGTTTAGGGGCCAGCTCTGTCTGACTCGTCCTGTCAGCACTTGGAAGTGATTGATGCCTTCCAAAACGACAGCTGAGATCTGCGCCTTGTACTTTACCTCGGTTCCGAGCATTCCAAGTTCGGATCAAGAGCCTGTTTTGCGCAATATGCTTACAGATTTGAAGATCATTCAAAGAAGGCCGACATCTTTAGCAGGCGAGCTACGCGGTGATTCCCGGAGCTTCTTCTCTCGAATGACCGCGCCGGTGTCTGGGCTGAAAGTCCTTCGCTCCAGCAGTCTCAACATGCAGCAGTGTGGAAGATGGACACTTTGACGTGAAATTTACTTGCAGCCGGAGCGCACACTGCTTCGACCTCCAGACTCGAAGTCCACCACGGCCAGGCTCAGATTGTCCTCAGTGCTGCTTTGTGGCCTTTTTTTTTGTGCGGTTTTGGTGGGGTGGCTTCTGGCCTTCAGTACAGTATGTATGCTGGTCACCAAACTATGCTGAAGAGTCTGGCCTGCTGGAAGCAGTAGTCTGTTCCTGTGTCACCCTGCCGAGCTGTAGCAAGCGAAGTGTGCCTACATCTTACTTTCACACAGTTTTCTGCACACCCGGGCTCCGGATTGCAAAGGACCTCCACCTCCAGGTAGACCTCAATGAGGCGAGCCATTACATTTCTCTCTGTTTTGAAGGCTTGGCTGATTACATTGCTGAGGTCTCTGCCCCCTTCTGGGTTTCGGTCAGCAGATCAGAGCGAATGCGGCACTTACCTCAGATCAGTTGCGGCACACATCACGAAGGGATGAGGTTGATGCGCAGCCGGGTTGCAGTAGGCCACATCGTCTGGGTTTCGAACCGACTTGATCCTCGGAGCCGGACCGGATTGCCATCGCGGCGGCATCAAGCAGAATACCAAATGCACAATTAAACTCTACGGGATCTGGCTGCAGCCGGGGCGGCTGGCCACCGCGGAAAGGCTCGCGAAACGTAGGCACCTGCGAAAGAAACCGGCATCCTGCTATCGCAGCGTAACATCCAGGTGGTCGGGGAGTTGCATCATCGTCAGGACTCTTTGCTTCTTGAAAGCGTGTGATGCATTCCATTTTGGCACGACTCGGGCCAAGCCTCGTTTTTGTAGTGCAAGAAACGACCTTTCCAATCCACGCGGGCCTTGCTCAGGTGCGTGAGGCGTCTCATTTTGCGATGACAAATCACGCTAGCTGTTTCCGAAAGGCTTCCAGAATTGCTCCATAGATCCTGCTTCGCAAATATTCTCTCAGCTTGTCGAAAGGTGCATGTGTAGTGAACACCAGCGCAATTGCAAGTAGTGCTGTAGTAACACTGTAGTGGTGATTGGGATTAACAAGTTTCCATCTCAAGCCACCTGGACATTATCCGATGCAGCATCAAATATACTTCCATTCGCCAAGCGGCATGCTTTCTGCCGCTCTCAGCCGGTGTCACCGCCGTCTGGCAAGGACATGCTGCTCAAAGAACTGTCAATTGCAAATGGCAGGAAATGGAGCCTGGCATGGCGGCCAACGGTGGTGCTTTGCAGAAACAGCACGCGAGCGTAGCATTTGACAGTTCTCAGTGGAATCAGTGGATGCCGTTAGGTCGTAGTCGGGTGGCCAATTCACTTTGTCGCCGGAAGCCTGAACACGTGACCTTTTCCTATGCTGCTCCGGTGCGACCTCCTCTGCAGACTCGTAGATGCCCTCGCGCTCTAATTCCATGCCATAGAACGTTCCTGAAAGGTGTCACTCCGCGAAATCAAGAGAAAGGCTGCGCCTCTCTGTGACCTTCGAATCCGAGCGGCGGCTGCCTAGCGCCCGCCAAGGCCCAGCATCCTGGCTCGGAGTCGAAACGAAAATTATTCCGGGCGCGAGCCTTCAGAATTCTACACAATGCTAGCCAGAATGGCCCGATTGAGGGCTCGAAGAAGCCGGCATGTAGTGTCTAAGCTGCACCTTGGCAAAGCAAGCGATCACTGGCGAATGATAAACGATGCTGCACTGCAGCGGGGTCCCAGAACAGGAGGTCAAGCCTGTCGGCTCTGGATGCGTCGAGGGACAAGGTGCTGGCGTCGAGTATCATCCTCGGTGTCGCTGGAAAAAACCCAGAGCTGCAGCCCGGCACTCACACAACTGCTTTTGTGCCAAGCATCGCTACTATAATGTAGGGCCCCTCTGCCAGCTCAGCTAAAGAAGACCTCGGCAACAGGGTACAGCCATGCATGTCTGACCAAAACAAATCACCCACGACCGAGCCCCCGCACCCGTAACACGTTAGCGGCACTCGAACACAATCGCCCATCTGTGGGCAAAAGAGGGAACTCGGATTCGGAATTTTGCCCAGCCAAGCAGCTGTGCGGTCGCCTGCGCATTGCTGCGACGAGCAGCGGAGATGCCTCAAGCGGTAGATGCCCCGCCCTGAAGCGATATCCCCATGGACAAAGTGCCGCAGTTCACATGTGCTGGATGTGCACACGACATGCCCATGTTTGGGCGAATGCGGCTTCGTTCAGCGCAGGAGCAGCTGCTGCTGCTCGAGTTGCAGTGCCACTACAACACTTCTAGATACTTCCAGAGATGCTCATGCAGCCATGTACGACTCTGCGGCCTGGGCTTCGCCGCCCAGCAGCTAAAGGTCGGGCCTGAGCATGGGGGTTCCGGGCATTGCCAGCAAAAGTGAAAAGGCCGTGGGGAGCTTCGGGGTGCGAAACTGGTATTCCAAACAGGAGCGTCAACAGCTCAAAGAAGCTTGCTGTGCTCGCAATAAACCTGAGAAGACCTCACCGACAGCCCGACCCAATTCGTTCAAACGTCAGACCTCTTGCCTCCAAAGACACATCCACGAAGCTCCCTTTTAGTATCTCGATCCAGCGCGATAGCAGACTCTGTGTCTTATTCGGTCTCTGTCTGTTTGTCTCGTGCTCCGTTGCACACAGCTTGCGGCGGTCCAACAAATCAGCAGGAGCAGCAACGATGCGGCAGTCTGTTCTACATCAGCGCCCCGGCATCATTCGGCATCCCAACAATCGATCACAAGCAAGCGCCGCAAATTCCAACCCCGCAGTGCCACATTATGCACTCTTCTTGCAAGTTTGCCTGCCTTCTTGAAGATGCAAATCTGAATCTTGTTGCTCATTAATGTCTCATGCTGTGGGTATTTTTGCGGATCCTTGCTGCAAAGTTCTTCCTTCGCCCTTTGGATACAACCACCATCGGTAAGTGTAATCGCGAAAGCAAGTAGGGCGGAAATGCAAATCTTGCTATGTAAAGCGCCGAATCCCATTTGTGCTGCCAGGAGGCAGCTGCTCGAAACGCGCCAACCAACCCGAAACTCAAGGATTTGCGATGACCGGCATCCATCCCCTGCAAGGGCAAGGCCAGCAAGTTTGGGGAGCTACCCCGGCGTTTGATCGGTGACTGCACGGAAATATGTCCAGAAGCTGGGAGGCCTCATGATTGAAGACTTTGCCTTCCCCAGTTGCCACTCGAACAAGACCAGCAACTAGGACACTTCGCTGACGCTTCATCCTGCAGCCTGAGCCCTTGTCTGTCATCGCTCCTCGAGCGCACTGTGTTTTTCTTCAAGCTCACGGCTTGCCTCTGCGGACTTCCAGCGCATTTCTCTGCGCTTTTGAAAGCTGATATGGCGGCAGACGCATCAGAAAGGCAACACGAGCCCGAACAGGGTTGCCTGTGCATCTTAGCCCGGACCATCCCTTCTCAAGGCACGAGTGTGCAGTTGCCCCAGCAAAACCAACGGCAGCCCAGGCGAAGTCCAACTTCAGCGAAGCTACCAGGCAAAGACCACATAGAAGCTTCCGAACAAAACCTTGGCCGAACCGTATCGAGATGCGAAGCTGAGCCGCTTTCCGGATCTTCGGGAGGCTTAGCTTCTGGCCAGCACCGGGAAATGAGCGAGCAGCAAAGGAGGCCGGGCGACCCTCAGTCACAATGTAGCATGACCTCTGTCAGTCCCCTAAAGTACTCAGGTGCTGATTCTGGCCAAGTCACCAGGCTTCGACGGCTGCTGACAACACCATGCCGTTGTGGAGCAGCTGCGAATGAGGGGATAGTGCAAGATAAGGTTGGCAAACTGTGAGAGTCAAGCAAAGGAGACTGAGCTGTGTTCAGCGACACAATCCCAAACTATAACTCCACTACTAGATTACTAGTACTGCTCTTTACTACTGCGGATGATATGACCAAGTTCGCCCACGCCTGTGGCTTCAAGCGAAGTATCCGGCGAAGTTTGTCTCCGTCCCCTGCCGAAACGCCAGTGCGAGCTGCGGCTGATGCCGTTGGTGATAAGCCTTCTAGCTGCCAAGCGGCGCATTTTCTTTATTCCAGGTATCAGCACAAAGCTGACGACTATGTTCCTTGCACTGCAAGCAGCAGTCAAAATTATTGACCAGCTTTTGCAGTATGCAGTTGGTTTTGACCGATCTCTGCCGAAAGTCACGAAGAACGCCAAAGGGAACAGCAGCTCCCAAGTGATCTGCGTTGCCTTCAGCGAGAGCTCACATGATGTTGGACAAGGTCTGAGGCTGCGGTTTACGCTCTCACAACCCGGACACTGCGGTTTAAACCGTGAGGTTCTTGACCGACAGCTCGCATTCAAACCCGTTCCGAGTCCCGAGCGGTGCACAACAGCGACGATGGGTTCCTTCAGGGCATGCAGATCTCAGCCGGTGTTGTGTGCGGGCCAGCGTAACGACCTGGACCAGCCCTGCAAAGCGGCGAATACGAAGAAGGCGCCACTCACCTTCAAAGCTCACTCATTCTATGAGCCCCGTCTTCATCCCGCCTTCTGAGCAATGCGCTGTTGCTCTAAGGGCAGTCAACAGGATACTTGTCGAGCTAGACATGTCAAAATGACATCAAGCCTGAGCATCATGAAAGTAAGGTGGGCCAATAGGTGCAGCAATGATAGTGGTCGCCCTTCATGAATGTGCCAAGCTGCAGTGTTACTCCAAATCGTGAAGGTGCTCCAGCGCCTGGTTTGTTTTAAAACGTCTTTACTCGAGCAAGGCATGCGACGCCTGTCACCGTCCATAAGCCTCGCACTTTAAGAAGGCACGACACCTCTCGACCATCTTTGTCGAATTGTGCCAGCTGAGGCCGGCACTGCAGATGCAAGAAGGACCGATGCACTGTGGCAATCTCAGGTCGTCCAGGGACGTGGTACCGAACCACCAGGGGATTCTTGTCCAAATAATGCCATGTGAGGAGGCTCACTTGCCTTGGCTTGCTCAAGACTTCATGTCTTCAGGTTCATGACAAGGTCGGTATCTTACGGACTAGATTTTGAGCCTGAAAGGTGCCTCATACTGCCACCTTGTGGCCCGACCGCAAGGATGCTGTTGTAGCACAACACATAAGGGTCTGACCTCGGCAGGGTGCTTCTATTCGTACGCCTGTCCTACTTTGCGATGCTGAGGATAATGATGATGACCAAGGGCCCCAGGGGATGAGAAATATGGCAGCAAACTGAGAGGTCAACATCGTTGAGTAGCAGCCGTAGCTGTCCCACTCAGATGATAGCCTAGTGGCACATAACGAATGTGGTGAATCGTGCATGACATCTTTGCCATGTAAGTACACAGAGAGTGGCAGCAGCTGTTGAAGCTCGGATGCCACCAAAGTGATGTCATAGCCATGCCAGCAGTTATGATCAAGCTCGCGCCGAGATTGATCATCTGAGCATCAAGCATAGCTGCAGCTTGGAACTCGGCCCAAGCTGTGCTACACAAAGCAACCATTGGTTTGCCATGCGCCCCTTTTGAGTATGAGCACTGTTCTCTGCACCGAAACTTTCTCCAAGCTGCGTCCCGAGGCTGCGGTTCAGGACCAGAGTAGTGTGCCATGCTTGGCTTCAGGCTTTGTTCAGCCGCAAAGCACAGCTGCGGGTGGCTTTTGACACAGGTGGTTCACTCCACTGGAAGAAGATGCACCTTTGTTGCAGGCCCTGCGTCTACCTTTTTCATGATGCCTGCGTGTGGTACAGACTCTGCCAACCCCATGGCGGTAGGCGGCATTACATTTACATATTTCCCACGTTTTGTTGTCTCCCTAAAGCTTGTCCATCCTTTCTGTACCATGTGAATAGATGGTGTTGGTCTGTTCATGGAAAATCCTCAGAGCCGAAACATCGGTCGTGGCAACGCAGAGCAGCTCTAGCCCACCAAAGCTCCCGTGGTTTCGTGAGAAGGTGTCTGCTTGGCGCACCGAAGGCCGACAGCAGAATCGGGAAGGGGAAGCCAGCCTGGACTGCTATGTCTGGCTCCAGAGCTATGGTGTGATGGTGGATGCCTCTATGCTGCGAGCTGAATGAGAGTCTGACTACCCCTCAATGTAACGATGGGAAGGAAGTCTATATTCGCTGCGGTCTTTGGTCTTCTTGGATGCGTTTTGGCTATTGCTAGGTTTTGTATAGCCGCTTTTGAAATCCTGAAGGTTTGCTGTTTCCTTGAGGATACGTTGTACAGTAGGAGTTGGTTGCAAGGGCATGTTCCGCCTTGACATCTACATGTGGAGACATGCTTCTGCGTCCGACAGTTTCGGGTATTAGAGTTCGGAGGAGATCAGGGACGTGCCAGGTAATGATTAAAGGACAGAGCGGAAGCTAGTGCTTGATGCCGTAGACTTGGGCACTGCGGGGCACCGCGCTACTCTTACTCACCGGACTCTCTGGCCCGCGTGCTGGAAGTAGCACTACTTTGGATGGACTCTGTGTTGCGTGGCTATTTCGCAAAGAACCGAACATCACAACTTACAGCTCCACTCCAGCGCTGATTGCAATTGCAGAGTCCTCCCCGGAGCTTGCTGCATGCTGCAAAACGAACCAACAAGCGCAGCTCCAACCCTGATTGAAACAGCCTCATGTGGCTAATGTTCAGTAGGCTCTTGTCATGGCGGATTGGTACATACCGATAGTCTAACAGTATAAAATGCCATACAATGCCGGTATGCGTACAGATGACCATGTTGCAACATGCCACAGAACGACAAAGCGACATAGTAGTTTGCAAGGTCATCGCAATGCAGAAACTCAACATTGCAACACTATGTTCATGTTCGCGTTTTGCTAGCAATACCCGGCCTCTGTTATCAGCCTCTGGTTCGCCAGAATGACCTGAGGGTTGTGTACCGCAAGCCGGCTTATCTAGCCATTCTTAGGCTGACACATTCTGCACTCATAATAATATGATTGTATGACTATAACAGTACAACTGCTGTTCGCTGTGGTGCTGTTCGCTGTGGTATTGCTATTAGCAGCCGCTTGCTCCCATACTCCCGACAGGTTCCAGGCGAGGGCCCCGAAGAGCCTTTACTCCGACGGCGGAAACCAGAGATTTGTCTGTGCACACTTGTCAGCTTGGGCCTTTCAAGCCTCATAATCACGGGCCTAATCGGTGTTTGCCCGTCTTTGCAACTCAGGCTGGCAAAGCGGAGTCTTTGCAGCGAGAGCACCCAGGAAGAAGACAGCATGTAGACCTTGGCGAGGAAAGCCCTCTCAAAGTCTCATTAAAAATGCACCCTTGCGGCATACGTCCTGCTCGAATGTGGCGGGGCAGTGACTCGCTTTAGCATCTGCTCGAGAGGCCCAGCTGCTGTGGCTTCGTACTTTGCAGGCGAGCTTTGCTCAGAACAATCAGAACAACTCAACTCGGCACAGTCCGCCACTTCTTGGTTTTGGCAAGTGACGAGGCATGACAAAGGTATCGCCAAAGCAGTCGCGACTCTGGAGATGGATGCCTTGCCAATTTTCACAATGGTGGGAGCAACGACGTTCGCAAATGCACATGGAAAGGTCTTGCAGCCAGAGCGCAGTCCGCAGCATGGACAGCAGCATCTTTTTGGTAGCTTTGCGCTCAGCAGCATTCCATGGGGATTGCCATTGGGAGGACATTAACTCGATAGAGTCCGTGGAGCGAAATAGTCTTGTGGAACCCAGCTTTAGAACAGGAACCCCCAAGACGATCGAAGCACTATGGACTATGGTTTCGACTGAGCTGACTGTCTGAACAGCTATACATGCTCTCTTGCATCTTGTGGTTCACTCTACACCCTCTTCCTGCCTTGGCCAGTATCATGTGAGTAAAAAGAATACAGCACACAGAGATCCAAATGCAGCAGAAAGCGTGCGAACCAAAGCCTAATCAGCTTTAGGGGCTGAACTCTCGGCTTTCGAATGAAATAAGGTAGTAGCTGAGCAGCGACGGACATCTCGCACCCCCCGCCCATAAGAACGAGCCGGCCGACATCACTGCCAATTGTAGCAAAAAGTGCCTGCAGGCTGCTTGCGGGCACCTGCTAACAGCTTGGATACTCCAGTGTTCTAGACTGGACGGTGCCTCTATTCTGCAATGTCTGGCTGGTGTTTAGGCTGTTAGGTCTCAATGTTGGTCGGCCAGGAGAACCCGCTCAGGCCAATGCTCAAATCACTTCGCTCAAGTTCGCGAAGCAGTAAGGCAATGGAGGATGGCACCCGAGACACGATACATTCTCGTGTGCCAATTCCACATCTCATGCGCGTGTGAGAAGCCAGGACAAGCCAAGAGGCTACCATCAGAGTTCTCCAGCACCTGAACCACCTCCACCTTCACGCATCAGGCTTATCAGACTAGAATTCCGCTGCTGCTTCTCGTGCCTCGGCCCAGCTTTGGCGCAGGTGTTTGAAGGCTAAATGGCATCGGAAAAGCACATGCAGCACAAGGGCTCTGAGGGCTGCGAAAACTTTTGCAAACCCCAGTTCCGACATGGCTTTTCTTACGGACGCACACGGCGTGGTCGGGGAGCGTCGGCTCTTAATTTGGACCTACTAAGTAAGGAATGCCTTTCGTCTACCCTCTCAGGGCAAGGGAGAGCTGCAATGGCCGATCAGTCTAGATGTCGCTGAAATCCTCTGCCTTGAGCATTCACAGAAAAAGCATGGCATCATGTCAAGCAGGAGCATGCAATTTGACCTTCCGACCTTCCTTTGTCAGCCAAGCCACATTGGGGGGTGGTGTCATCACCGCCAACGTTGGTATTCCCTGCATGTGATGACTTTTTTTCTCTGACACAGCCGCACAAAACCCATCATCGTCGTCCCTTAATGCTGTAGGTAAGCACCTGCTACTTCCAGTTGTTGCTGTGAGGAAGTCGCTGGATATGTGCCGCCCTAGTAGCGCACCTAGATCATCAACCTGGTCTCAATAAACGAGGCCACGTGTCTAGCAGTCCCTTTGCGTCCTTGGCGAGCTTGCGCGGAGGTCCCGGAACAGATCCGGCCTGAGAGTAAGTTCCGACTTGAGAGCCTCCCTCTCAAGTCACCCGAGAAAATGCCACAGCAACCAAACTCGAAGGATCTGAAGTGACTTTCTTCCAAATTCTGGCGATATCCTTGAGCCAGCAACCGGCTTCCGCCTCGGAGAACCTGAAGCCTGCGGGGCACTCGGCACTACTTTCTAGAGGAGGGAGACTTGACGCGACCGAAACACAGTTCGAACATCATGCCAGGCGTTGTGACCGTTAGAAAAAATTGAGCAGAGCACATTGCATCCGAGAGCGCTTAGCGCTTTCCGCGCTTTTGCTCCACCACTGCAGCATGGCCGTTGCGACTGATGCCGCTCTAATCACCGATGACTGGGCAGTTCTGCAACTTCGCAGGCCTCGGTGGTTTCCACCTTTGGTCCTTGGCCGTGCAGGCACAGGGCTTAGCAACGACTGCCGGAACCCGTTGCCCACAGGGTCAAAATCCATGATAACATGGGGCTGTTGCAGAATCGAAACTGGATAGAGCTTGGGCCCGCGCGAAGTAAACCTGGCCTTGCGGGAATGGGCAAGCACATTTCGCTACACTCTTGTGGGCAACTCGATCGCTTGTCAGGTCTGAAGCTAACGAACTCACCCCATCGATCCCCACACCTCGATTCTAGCCCTGTTGGGAACCCTACGTCTCTGACCAATCTCGGTACCGCGCCGTGGCCTTCTGTCCGAGGTATCTGCAAAGCGCTTCAGCTGTCCAGACTCGAAGTCCTGTCTGCTGTCTGCAGGAGGCTGTCCGTAGAAAGGCTCCGCAACAGGCAATGTGCACAAAATTTAGGAGGCTGTTGAAGCTTGTAGCTGCACAAGATCTCGCTGTGGTAAGTCAGTTACACTTGCACGCAGCACTACAAGATTCACTTCAAGTCCATACCAGGATCAGGGGTGTGCTTCGCGGATGTTGCGACCGACGTGCTACGGAAGGCAGTTGGACTCCGGCTGTGCACGATGACTTGACGGCTTCTTTCGCTCTGGTCTGTGCACTTGCTTCTGGCGCAGATCTAAGCCGTGACTCTCTCAGAGAGCTCGAGGCCGTGTAATTCGCAACAATTGAGGGTTGGCAGCAGATGCTTTTGAAAACACTGCTTTCTCCAGAGAAAGCAGATTCGCAAACGACCCTGCCGCAACAACTTTGTACTGAGGAATATCTAGGAGGACACTTCTCTAATGCAAAAGCTTGGGTCCAGTGCTGCACGCGCCGAACAGCCACAAATAAACGGCACTTGCTCGACGATACTATAAGATGCCATAAATATACTATAGTATAATGTACTGTACCATACCACGATCACACTTTACCGACTATACTCTAAACTTTGGACCGAGCAGGGTCTCCAAGCTCACCGCTACCACCCGAACGGTCTATCGAAGAAACCTACGCTGAGCCAACTTCTCCCAAATGCCAAGGCCTGACCAAACCGCAGTACTCTACCGACCCAGCCGAGAGTCGAAAACCGCAATCGTCACAACGTCAAGAAGTTGGCAATCATGGAAACCAAACCGTGGTGAAACGCGGAACATATCCGATTCTATCTAAACGCCTACAGAAACTCCGGGCCTGCACAACCATCCGCAAATGCTGAACTGTCTCTTGCTGCTGTGGAGGATATCAAACTGTCACAGTTCAAGATTCGCAACCAAACTAGAGACGGAGTTGAATGTGCTGCCGACATGCCTGTGCTCAAGGCAACCCAACTCAATGAAAGAATCATTGTGGTTCTCTCAATGGAGCTCAGCCATCGAACTCGGAGACGACCGTGGGTGTGGCCTGGAAGAAGCACTACGTAGCGGATAACGAAAACCCAAGCTCTCCCCATAATACATCGAACAAGTTGGCCAATGGGTTGGCCACATGCACAACGTGCATTCACGAAAAAACTCATGGAAGCCTGACAGTGTCAACCTTTGCGGCGAAGGATCTCGGCTCTTGACCCATTCAGCAAGCTTGACTTAATGTTTAACATTGCGTGCCAAAGACATCGCCTCGCTGGGGCACTGCTCATAGCGACTAGCACCTGAGCAGCATGTCTAATGTGGGCACATGCATGTATCTGGGCAGGCGCCCCGGGAGAATAGTTGGCGCTGCAGAGCGAGGATCGACTAACAGGCAGATCTGTGCAAGGTTCGTGAGTGCGGGAGCAGAAGGTTGATTAGTAGAAGTTCATAGACACGCGTCGAACGCGTGTGTTTGCTAGATCTCTTGTTATGAGCACCTGAGGCGTACATTTCAGACATCTGCAGTGCAGGGATCATGCGGGACTACCCTGGCATCTTGTTGAAGCCAGTCCTACTGCTGTCCTGCATCTTCCGCTTTATGTCACTCTGAGGCGGTTTCCGTCAGGGTCCAAGCTGAAATGCCGAACCACGCTTGCTGCAGCTATGCCCATTCCACCAATGCCACAGACCTGGGCCAGGATGTCGTGCCATGGAACATACAGATGCAGCATGATATATCAACCTGCACCTGGTATCATACGGTACGCGAGGTATGCCGTCGCTGTGCTGGGTCTTGCAGGGACATTGGCCCAACACATCTCCGATACTCATGCTCAGACTTCCTCCGAAGTCAACAGAACTGCGAGCTGAAACCGGGGATTCTCAGGCCTGGGCCTTTTGCACGGTATCCGAATTGGAAGGCGATGGGATGGAGCCCGGCGCCACAACTTCCTTCGGAGAGAGAGGGTACACCGTCGGTATGCTATCAGAACAGTTCTCAATTTGCTGGTGACTTACGGGCTTATGCTCCCGTTGGCTCGGCAAACAGAAAACATCACCTTCGCCTTCGCTTAATGCTTTGTTGCTAGCTGCTGTACCGTTTGATGTACCGCCCATACCTTTGCAGCTCAGAGGCCGTGGCAGGGACTGCTAGGGATATGGTAGGCTCCCGCCGTCGGCCCTCGTCCAAACTGATTGGTGTGACACCTTGGATGTGTTTGGGAACAGAGGCTACAGTCTCTGATTCGCAAGAGGGATGACCACCCATAACTTGACAACCTGAGGAAGCCGGAGAACAGTACACAGGGGTGCAGGATAATGCTTCAACATCTCAGCCATGCTGCATTCAGCGACCAGGTCGTCCTCAGCCAAGGATTTGTGACCGATTCATTCCTCTAAGTTCCGGCCGAACAGAAAGCGCATTTTACACTAGCCGTCGCACCAGCCGTGGAGACTAGCAGCATGCGTCTCAGGGGTTGATCTACAACGAGAACACAAAAACACGGCCCTAACAGTTGCCAGAACACGCTGACACTTGCACAACGAGCCGCAACCGGGAATCTGAGCCTGAAGACAATCTCACCAGTCACTGCTGCCAAGCCGCATGTGTTGACACAGAAGCTATCGTAGGCTCGGGGAGCGGAAGCTCGATGACCTGGGACACCTGACAACGAGGCCGGTGTCCATAAGCTGATACTGTGTGAAACTCGCTTGGTACCCGATCCAATCGTCCCAGTTAATTCAATACCATATGCCGCGCATCACTCACATGCAGTCAGTCGCACTGTCCAGATCACAAGCCACGAGTCTCTCTGAAGTGGGTGGTATCAGTCTATTCCAACCCTTCGATCTTCCATCTTCCCACCGGTGCCTGCGACACCTCTGACAACCTGAGAAAGGGTCGAAGGACAGGATCGGAAACGTCTCTCGTGGCCCTCTTGGCATGAAGGAAATTCAGTCTCGAAGCTTGTCCTCTTTTCTCCAGGGTCGCCACCAGGAGGATTTTGCTTTCCTGGCTCGGAGAAAATTTGAAGCCCGGCAACGCTAGCTCCCGAACGCTGCTGAAGCGTTCAAACGTCGATTCTGGCCCTCGGTGTGTGTTCCACCCTCGGCCTGCCTTGCTTCGGGCTCTTCTTTCCCATCCCAGGCGCGGTCTCCGCGGCCTCTGGCATCGAAAGTCAGACTCTTCACAAGGGAATCCCGATAGGCAGGGCGAGTTGTGACAAAATGGGCATGAGGTAGGCCCACTGAGGCGCAGTGACAGCACGCGTGTGTCCCTGCTCAGGTTGCTCTTAAAACAAGAACTGGCGGCTATGGGCACTTTGGCTGCTCCGCTTGGACTCCCTGTCTTCCCTGACAGCAATTCAGAAGCCGTCCTGTGCAATCCTCGTTGCATCTGGCGTGCTCTGCTTGCAGCTGAAGTGCTCGGCAGCTTCTCGACCTCCCCCATGTCGCCACCGGGCCCTTCAGGGAAAAGTCTGCCGGCCACCCCATGACAAGTGAACGTCAAACTACCTAGCGCGAAAGAGCTGGAGCTCACAGTTGGTGCAGCACCAGGGCAGCTGTCTTTGTACAAAGCTTCGAAGGTACATTGTTGATTTCTCTGTCAGACCAGAAGAAGAAGTGTGGCACATTGGTCTGCCACTACGGCAAACAGGCCAGAGCTTCCAGTGGAAATGCACACGTCCTCATTCCCCAAGTCTAGTGTCAGGAGGCTGCATTCCAGGGGGTCTTCCGCCATACCTTCGCAGGGCCAGACAGCCGAAAGGCGAATGGGCAGGCGAAGCAGCCCTTAACCCTAAACCGATTCTGTGAAAGTTGCGGTGGCTAGCAGGAAAGGCTAACGTGCCAAAGCATCGGTGGCGATCAAGACTCACAACTGTCGCGTCGGTCTCTGCATTGTTCTTGATTATGACTACTATTGCGATTTTTATTAAGTTATGTTCTACTACATGCGCAAGAAACAGGAAATGGCCTGCGGGACAGTCGTGGCCACAGGTGGGCACTAAACGATGCCCGAAGGCGCTCCTATCTTTGAGGATGATTCATGCCTGCGGGAACAAATCATCTTGCCACCTTCCCCACGCAGAGGAAAGCGCATTGGTGCAAATGGGTCGTTCACAAGGCAAAGGGGTGTTTTGTGTCCTGCAGCCCAGTGGTGCCGTGCAGACTGGCAGCCCTCGGAATTTCCAAGCTGCTTTGAATGGAACATCGATCTTGAAGCGTGGGCAAGGGTCCATCTTCAATCAGGAGGCCCGTGTAAAAACCAATTTTCTGACAATCCGGCCCAATGTATGGCATGCGGAATCTGAATACACTCATGCGATTAACGCTCTGCTGTGGGCATCTGGCTCATCCAGGGATAGGATGCCGCCGATAGAACGCCTGCACTTCACTGCAACCAGCCGGCCGGTAGAACGTTGCCCTGTTATATCGGATCAATCCTGCACTGTGCACATGACTCAGTTAGGCTTGCAAGCTCAATCTCGCAGCACTGCTCTCGAGTGATGAAGGGCTGTTCCTGTACTTGCAACAAAGGGGCTGCCTGCCCCAGCCTTTTCCCTTCTTGCCCTTGCCATTCTTGCCCTTGCCGTTCTTGCCGTTCTTGCCTTTCCCACCCTGGCCAAACAGGCAAGCATCAGCACATTCAAAAAATGTCGTGTGTTGAATGTGCATCAATCTTGTGCCGATCGACCGGCCGATTGTTTACATGCACGACCCTTTAGATAGAACAGCTTGATGCAGCGCAACAAAGATTAGCACTGTCCGTACATGTCGTCTCCGTAGACTCTGAGCACTCCGTCTACTAATTCTTACCGGCCCTCGTGTGTGCGTGCATTTCCGTCCGTGTGAACGAGCGAATCTCAATCTGTACGCATGTAAGTAAGTATGTATGTGTGCGCCCACTGGCACCTTCAACTGTTTGCAGTACGGTCGCACATGCCGTGTGCCTGACTCAATCAACTCTCTTTACTCAAAGGCAAGAACCCTGTAGGGTTACCAGCCTTTTTGTCAAAACAACACCAGCACTCCCCAGGACACAGAGGCCTTCATCCCGGGTGGAAAGCTGGGCTCCATTGGCCTCAAGTCTGTCTTCGTCTGTTCTTGGTTCCTGTGGAACCATCCCAAATGACCAACGGAAGTTTTGCATTGCTATTGCGCTCGCCAGTGGCAGCTCCGAACATCACTGCAAGAGGCAACTTGGTGTCCATCAAATTCTGCCATGATCAAACACAGCTGCCAGTCAGTGCTTTGTGCTCGGCCTGTGTGTTTTCTGCCAGTGCTGCTGCTGCTGTCGACTGCGAACCTCAGCATGAGACGCTGCCAAAACAACTGCCACATGCACAATCAGCCGAAGCACAAGAAAACTTGTGGTAAAGGTGCCATAACATTTAGGGAAGCTCGCTGATTGACAGTTGCACCTGTAGCTGAACTCTGTAGCTGAGTGTAGCACCCAACTCCGCGCTGCAGCATGAGCTGGCACGTGGAGCGACAGTCAAGCTGGTCACGTGATCTGGGCTGGAACCACCTAGACTAGCGAAAGTCATAATCTTCCAATCTCAGCAGAATGAGTCGCCGAAAACGGACTTACTTGCCTTCAGGCTTTCCGAAATGCCGCCCTCAGACTGCAAGAAGATCTTCCTTCATGTGCCGGTCGCAAAAGCTCCCGCCCTTGCCTGGAGTTTCGAACTCAGAAACATCCTGCGCATCCTGGCTCGGAACCAATGTGGGTTTGCTTCCTGGTTGAATATCGCGTTTTTATTGGAAGACATTGTCCATCGTTTTGACATTCCAAATCTAAGAGTCCCTGTTCCCGCTGCAGACTTTCACAAGACAGAAACAGCACGCACCCATGCCCTCACAAATACCTGGCGGCCCATACGGACAGCCTAGCCCGTGCGTACTCCGGCCATCAGCCCGTCGCCTCAGTCTTGACGCGGCTGGGCGGCGGCCTCACTGCTGCCTGGCTCTGGGGTAAAAACCACCAGGACATCAGGAAGGATTGTCTTGCCTGGCCTTGGACGCTGCAACTTTCCGAGCTGCCGCCATTTCGGGGTTGGTGACCTTTGCAAACCCAGTCTGAAGATTAACAATAAACATATTAATACTAACGCGAATATGAATGTTGGGCTGCCCTGCGTGAGTTGTAGCAGTTGTAGCCCCAACTACTTGTAGCAGCGCAGCAGCCTCGTCTCGCAGCTCTGCCAGCTGGAGGTCCAAGTCGTCGGCCGGGGTGGCCTGCATTGTGCATCATTGTGCTTGTTGCGCAAGGATGTGTTTTTTTCCAATGGTTTTACTGTGTCCAAGCACCCTTGAACACGGCCGCCGTAGGAAGTATGCATTCTTCTTTGCTGTAAGGATCCAAACAAGCAGGGACGTTTGGCAGTCAGTGGCAAAGGTGCCGCACTCAAATGCATCGTGTGCTCTTCCGGTGGGTGGATCAGAGGCTGGGGTCAACCTTGGCTGCATATTGCCCATATGCAGCCGATGTGGGAGAGCGCCAGGCGACTGTCGGATGTGCTTATGTCTTATGTGTGAGATGGGCAGTCGATGTACCGAAGAAGCAGCTGAAGCGCTAACTGCAAAAGTATCAGACGCTTTTCCTGCGCTTTCCGGTGACGTCTGAACTCCAAACGCCTATTCCTATCGTGCTGCTTCCTTCATGCCTTTCGCGCCTCGCCGGCCCTTTATCTTCTACACCGTACTTACGTCTTGTAACCTCATTATACAATCCTGGGCAGCTTCACATGTCTCTCGAAGCCTTTCCGTTTGAAGGGTCCGGAGGGGACCAGTCAGTTTGTTGTTTGCCCTGTTCTCACTGGCCGCGTTGCGTTTCTGGGTACACATCCATCTCTGCTTGTTTGTAACAGCTTGTCCTGTCTTCAGCTTGTTGGTTGCCTTCTTCGTCTTCTGGAGCCTTGTTGGCTTCCTGAGCTGCCTAAGTTGTTTTCAGTGTGCGGCTTGAAATTCGCCGATGCTGGAATCACAGGAGATGACCATTGTGCAGTCCTGCCTCTGAAGCTGAACGCAAAGAGCAAAACTATGGATGCTGGTGGGTTCTGGCACCAGGTTCGTTCTTCGACCCCATGCTTCCCTTCCCTTTGCTCGCACGCTGTCTGTCCTTCCTGCAAGCGGCCAACAGGCCTGCACATGTCTCCCAAGTCTGCAAGAGGTTGCCTCATCATGAGCTTGTGGCGCATCCTCCGCCTCCTCAAGTTCAACCTGTTCCAGGGGCTACAAAAGCGATGCAGTTTTGACACACGGGACGGCTAGCTGCATCGTGTTGTCTCAGGCTGGCATGTTGCACGACTCTCGAGAGCCATCTGTCTCAGCCCCGTTTTCTGCATTCCGGCAGGTCAGATGCCGAAGTCTCTTCCATTTTTGGCCTCCTACCTACCTGGCCAGGATGAGCTCCGCTCTCGCAACTCAGACGAGGTCTCTTGGTTCACAAGAGCATCGACGCAACGCTCTGTACGCCCTGCGAACTAAGTGTAGCTCTTTTGTTTGTCCGGCTGGAGCACCGGCCGGAATTTTTCATCAAGAAGCTTTCTAGCGAGGCAGTACTTACTATTTGCTGTATTTGCCGTTTGGCGCCCGACTGTCGGACTCACGAAGGCAGATGCCGACTGCTGCAATACAGCGATTGGTGTGCGCAGGTGGCCGACTCTGTCACTGCTTTTGTCGGCCTCTTCCGTTCGCAATTTTTTTGCAAAACCGACAGGCAGACAACGCACCTTCCTTTCTGGGAGGTGCTTAGGGCTGAGTAATGCAGGTTTGAAGCCATGCACGGCGCTTTGGCTCTCCTGCTTACATCAGCTCAAGGCTTCCAGCAGCGCCGGATTGGCCCATGCAGCTATCTTTCAAAAGCACGCAGCCCTGGATTCGCTAGGCAGCTAGTCCCAGTTTACACAGCTTCGGCTGCAAAGCAATGCCATGGAGCCGATGCGGCTTCAAGTTGACAGAGCCGTGCTCCTGCCACATGCACACTGAAACTACGGCAGACTTACAGGGCCTTGACGACAAAGCAACTTGCAAAGGGAAACTGTCGCACTAAATCCGCACAACCGATGGCGCGCGGGACGTAAAGCCATGAGCAGCGTGTGTCCAGGTGCCGTGAAGCTGCCACTGCTTCGTTTGATGCCTTGCCCAATTCCGTAAGGCCGATCCAAGCTCACGAGGCTCCTCTGCCAGCTGCTGCATCTCCGTGAAGGCACACTGCTGCCGCTTCAAAGACTGGAGGAGCGCTCCCCGAAACTGAGCCTCATCACGGAGCTTTGGAGTTCATTCTCTGGGCACATCGTAGGATAGAGCAAGTGCCCACAACAGATGATGATCTTGCATTGCATGTGCATGCCTGGCTCTCAGATGCACATCTAGAGCCCGAGGCTCAAGAATGGCTTAAGATCCTCTTTGGGCTTAGTGCTGAAGTGCACGGTTGCTCGCCCACAGTGCCTGCATCGCGTTGAGCTCCTTTTGCAGGGCATCCTGGGTTCTCAGACTTCAACGCCCCTGCATGATTCTGGTCAGTCAGATGCTCGGAGTGCGAGGGTCGGTGGCGACATGTGTCGAAGACATGAAAGAGGCCTCCTAGGCTGACTATGGCTCCGCCTTGCCGCGAACGACAGTAGTAAAGTTGAGATTCCTTCAGCGTGCTCGGTGCTCGCCAGCGGGTTACGAGTATCTCATGTCAAGTATCAGGCTAAGCCTTAGGTGAAGCTGCATGGGAGCCTTTCGTTTTTTGACGAAGGCACGGCATCCCGGCCGCGCTGCTTCCAGATGCGCATCCAGGCCTCAGAGGCCTGGAGCCAGCGCTTCGCCGCCTTTGGCCACGGGCGCTAAAGCCCCACGTTTTTTAGTCTGACTGGCATAATTTGCTCTTCTGGCTCGTGCATTTTCGTGCCATTGGAGAGCAAAACCACAAGAGGAAGGCAGCAATCGCAAGAATCTGGCCTTGTCTGAGCTGGGCCTTTCCTTGCCCGCAGGATTCAGCGAATCGCCTGCAGAATGCCGAGCATCGGGCCCCTTTCCCATCAGACACGCACTCACACACAAACACACACGCCATCATCACGTGCTTGGGCACTGACACTACCAAAGTGGAAACGCAGCACAGTTCCTAGCCCTTGCCGACCTGATGCCACTCCCGCGTGTCGGGTTTAGTTTAAAACAGGTACGACATGAAGGGTACAAAGCAAAGAGTCCTAAGAAGTGGCAACCTTTGCGGCATGTTCTTGGGGGGCGAAATCCGGTTCCAGCTGAACCGTGCCTTCATGAATGCCGAGTTGTAGCCAATCCAGCACCGCGGTCCCTGCATCAGTGCGGAGTGGTGACGACAGCCTGTCGGGGAGTAGCATGGAGTAGCCAAGGATTTGAGACAGCTTGATGCAAACACTTCGGAGGCTTGACTAAGCCTGCCTGGCCTGGATTGTAGCAGCTAGGCGTAGGCTCAGACGTCTCATATTTGCCTCTCTCATGTGCCGGCCTTTTGTCGGACGTCACGCGCATGCGCGCACGGATGTAGAGCTTCATAGTTCGAGGTTGCGCCTCGGTCGCCAAGATGTCTTCATGCACGTGAAATCTGTGCAATGGGCCAACAACCGAATAGAGCTAGCTCGTCTGCGACATGTTCCGCCATCGTCCAGCCTCCAGGACACTTTGGGCGAAGCGCTTAGCCTCCTGCCAAATACTCACTCAGAAGTTGCTTGAACTCTTCGTCCCTCTCTCCTCCGGACCCCCACCGCTGGCGCAATCACCTGATTGCACGTGCGCCGATGTATGTGCATCAGGCTGAGCTCAAGCTGTGTTGTTGCTGCAGCTCTGCAGGAAGCTGATATCTTGTGCCAAGAGTCGGCTGCATTTGGCATGCCACCTTCGAGCATCCACGGCGGAGGGAGGGTGACTTGACAACAAACGCCCCAAATCACGAGATGGCTTGCACTGGCTGACCGTCAATAGAAATGTACTGATGCTGGAGATTCGACTCATTCAACACAACATGCCAGTTCAGAATCTGCTCGCAGGTGGGCCCATTGCACACCACACTCTCGTGCACGATGAAAAACATCGCTGTTGCAACCCTTACCTGTAACTGAGAGTCGCCTGAGCAGCAAAGCGAGACATCGCGCTGCAGATCGTAGATCCTACCAGTCGAGGCGTGACGTTTGAAACTGCAAGCACGTGATCCCCGGGGCCGAAGTTATAAGAAACCAGTGACTTCAGAAGCTTGTGGCACTGTGTGTGTGTGTGCGCTCCACAATCTAAGACCTTTAGCACGGACTGAGGTCTTTTACAGCAGTCATGGTAACGGCGTGGATCATCCGTTAGTCTCGGTTGCAGTCATGAGTCCTGTCCCCGTGCGGACCCTGGATCAGCTTTCGCATTCGGTTTGCCCCGGCACAAACCGCGAAGCTTCGGCGGGCGAGCCGGATGCGCGTCCTCCTTGGATTGTCGCGTTTCCGAGCAGGTGCCGAGGTCGCGGCAGCTTTCCTGAACACAGGCCTTCGTCACCCAGCTTCACAGGCAACGCCCAAATGTGTTCCTCCTGCTCCTTCGTTGTTTTCCCCATCCTCGCCATCATCGCGATCGCCATTGTGTCGTTGTGCTCCATCGGGTTGCTGCTAAACACACGCAAAGTTACGTGGACAGAAAGCCGAAACCTCAACCAAGCCAGAGCAATGGGAGCAGTTGCACGTGGCCCCAGGCCTTGCATGCGGCACTCTGTGCATGGAGACCTTCCAGGTTTAGCAGACAATCAAAGCAGCACGCGAAGTAATGCGCCTGAGGCCTTGTGTACCTTCGGAGAACGTTCCGGCGAGCCATTCGAAGCTCAGAAGTGAAGTCATGTTTTTTCTTCTCAAGAGCAGACATTATTTAACTAAGCAGCCAACCGTTGCGACATTGCATGGCAGGCCAGCCATCTTTCAGCAGCTTCGACATGCAACTAAGCGGTTTCAACGCCACACGCCTCGCCCCAAATGGATCGCAGCAACGAATCCAGAACCGTGACCTTTGCACGCTGCCAGCTGGGAAAGGGTCTCTGTACTCAGTAAACCTGGAACTAAGTATTCCCAGCCCAAGCAGACTCACGGTGAGCGAAGAGTCGAGGACGTGGCAGTTTCGCTGCCAGATATGGCCACCCACAGCTTGCTTGGTCACAGCTGGGCGGCGCTGCTGCAAAATCCAACCTGCCGTCGCGTGTAGCTCTTAGCAATGCAAAACATATCATGCACAAAAAAGCGTGTCGTCGTTGTTCTGTCATGCACTGCTTGGATTGATGCGAGGCGCGAACGACTCCTGAAAGCTGCTGAACATGGGTATGCCACGTCGAGTGTGACAAAAAGAGCTAGCTGGCATTCTTTCAGTGCAGCTCGAAGTGGAGCTGTGTGGAACTTCCACCCATGTCGTACGGCCCGGCACCAACGCCACAGATCTGATGCCCAACCGGACGAACCCGAACTGGCAAGCCGGCACTGCACCTTCGAGAGCCAGCCGCACCTTCTGAGGCAGCGCTTGGATAGCGCAGCGCCTTTGGTCCGGAGGCCTTCCAAGGACTTTGAGGGTATAAGGCTTGCTGTCACAGCTCCACAACTCAAACGACTATGTCACTACGTGGCCGGCTTTCAGCTGAGATCTGCGATGTTTCCTCGAAACTAGAAAGAACACAGGCACATTTCTGAAATTGATGCGAGCATCAAAGACTGCAGCAAGTTGTGCATCCGCCGGAGCTGCTTGGCTCGCTTGGTGCCACAGCGTCGAGGCTTCCTGGATGTAAAATGTTGTAAACGATCCACCCACACACACACACACACCCCAAGAAGCATCTAGAAAGTGCCCCAGATGTTCATCCCACATCGACACATTGCAACAGCATTGTTCCTGGCCTCACTCTCCCCCAACCTTACGAACTAGACTTGTGCTAGCGGACTGGCAAACGCTGCGAAGATGTCAGAGCATGTAGCGGCCTTTGCAGCGTCTTAGGAGGAGGCGGCGTTTCTGGCCCATGCAATCGCTCCTGGCACGAAGCACCCGACTCATGTCGCTCAGAACTTGCACGCCTCAAGCAGCTTTTAAAGCCGGCTCGCTAACAAGGCCGCTGTGCAGCTGCAAAAAGGAACGTGGGATTGCTTGAAAGCGCACGCCTGAAATGGACCAGTCCTGGTACTTGGCTTTTATTTTCTTGAAGCGCTGGTTGGGCACTTGCTTCTTGCGCCCGCGTCCGCATT